CTGTGTCCTGCTCTGACGGCATCTCCCCATGTCTGTGGTTTTTATGAAATAAGTCCAGGCTTGTTATGGATTGTGTATGGAACATCTCTGTAGGCTCTTGCTGACAGCCTGTTCCTCAGCTGCTGGAGCTTTCTTTGGGAAGTGTTCCATGGAATCTTGAGTAGGTGGGGCCTGGTTGGAGGAAGTAGACCACTGTGGGTACATGAGACAGGATCTTATGTAGCCTAAGCTGGTCTGAACATGCCTTGGATTCTTGACATTCCCACCTCACCTGCTTGAAGGGCACCTCCTGTCCCTGGCTATTTTCTTCTGTGTGTGCTTTCATAGAGGGTGGGCAGCTGTCTCTCTAACACTTGCACCATGGAACTTCACCACAGCCCTACATTGAGGGCCAAATGCTATGGATATGAGTCTCTGAGGCTGTGGGTGAGAACAGCTCTTCCTATTCCTAGGGCTTCCTTCCTAGATTCCTAGATTCCCTTCCTCCTCTCTCTCCCTCTCCCTCTCCTTCTTCCTCTCCCCCTTCCCCTCCTCCTCTCCTCTCCTCTTCCTCCTCCTTTTTTTTTTTTTTTTTTTTTTTTGAGACAAGGTCTCACATAAGCTAGCCTTGAACTCTTGAACTTCTGATTCTCTTCCCTCCACCCGAGTGCTAGGATTACAAGCATGTACTCAGTTTCTGGGGTTGTTTCTGTCATATGTTGTGTCACACAGATGAAAACTCACACTCAGGAATGCTTCCAGCTGGCCAGCTGATCCTGGGAGATGAGAGCAGATGGGAAGGAAGCAGGCTTACTCAAAGGCCAGACTGTAAGGGCCCATTAACCTCTTAGCTCCTTCTCAAACTCAGGAGCACAAATATCTTCTTTACAAAGAAAACGTTATCTTTGGTGAAACTGTTGCTTTCTTAATAGGTAGCAGAGTGATTCCTTTGTACAAAGAAACTATTTCTGTTAAAAGATATTATGGCTGGCTTCAAGGTACAATCAACACTAACTGTGTACGATGGACTAGGGAGGAGGAGGGAGGCTGGATCTGAGAGATAGGACCAGGAGGGAGCACTGTGGCCCACCATCAGACATCTTCCCATGTCTCTCACAGGCAGTGAGGGCAGCCTCACCTTTCCCTTTGTCTGACATACTACGAAGATGTTGCAGTTCTCGCTGATGATTTCAGCAAGAACCAAATTACTTTTGGAACCCACAAAGTGAGGTTGAGTGTTTACACCAGTGTAGGAGAGTATTAGGGTTCTATGTGTGCCGTTTGAGGTCCAAACCTCACTGGTCCCTGTGGTGACAAGGACTAGGAAGGACAGGTTCTTTCAAATAAGACCTGACTAATGACAAGGGCTTTTGTGGGCTGGTACTGATGGAGCTGTCACAGTCAGACCCGAAAGGCAGAGAGAGGTAAAAGGTCTCTGCAATGCTGGGTCCTTTACTTCTCTCATCTTTCAGCATTTACTTCTATATCTGACTCTGGGTTTTATTATCAAGACCAATTAGAATTCCAGCTACACTTCCCCTCAGCTACCATCAGCAGCTGACAGTTCCCCACGACTCCATCCCCAACCCATGTCTGAATGTTGATAGACACAGTCCTGTGTGTGCCCTGCTCAGACAGCTGCTGCTGCTAAGAGTTAATGAGGGCAGTGGTCATGTCATACCCAGAAAATGGCATTTCACAGCCTTCTTTCCTACCCTTTGCCTCTTACATTCTTTCTGCTCCATTTTCCAATGTGTTCTCTGAGCCTTGAAGGTGATAGAGGTGTCATTACCCCCTCCAGAGAAGCACTTACTACCTCCCTCCCTCCCTCACTCCCTTCTTCTCTCTCTCTTAACTAAGGCCAAGATCAGCACTAATCTATGGGTGTAAATATAAATATTTAGTAGGTGGTCTGACGATGTGTCCACTTAACAAAACAACAGAAGTAGGTTCCTCCATGAGACCTGTGATCTCCCCAGCCATAAGCCATCTTTACAGCACCGGGCGTGGATTTCTTCCTGTGAACCAGGCCTTAAGTCCAGCCAGAAAGTGGCCGGTTACCTTCACAATTGTCATGTCTCTTTTGCATCAGTGAGCACATATTTGCCTGACAGGTCATTGCTGTAACCTCCAGGGTCCACCTCTGGATAGGATCACTGATGATCCTGCCCCTTCTCCCCACAGCTGTACTCATTGTACTCTCTGGTGCTGTGAAAGTAAGCCAGCAGGGAGGAAGCCTCCGTATCAGTTGCAGCTTGATTTTTATGTCCTGCACACAGAGGTGTCACATCTTCAGCAACAGAGTCTTCCCATTGTAGTTCCAGTGGGCAGCATAAGTAACGGGAGAAGCCTTGTTTGGGGGAGCCTCTGGAGTTTCCCTGACTAACAATGCATAGGTATGTATCCCACACCTACACTGAGGGCTCCAGCATCTTCAGGGGTTGCAATCATTCGGTGCTTCCCACTGAAAAGTTGAACATTTGAAAATGAGCTTGCAACATTGATCTTCCTGGATAAGAGTGTCCCGGCATGAGAAAGTGTGTAGATAAAGATGGAATTTTAATGGCATGCTAATGAACATGTCAAACCATGGGGTGTGGATGGGTTTGTTCTCAGACCTACTTTTGGAGTCCTTACTTCCAGGGAAAGACTAGATTCTGGGGAAAGGCTCATTAAGAAAGAGATTTCTTTTGTCAGGTGTGGTGGACCCCATCTGTCAGCGATGAGAAGGCAAAGGTGGGAGGGTGGTGAGTCAGGGGCCAACTAAGTGACAGACACTGTAAGACTGTCCTGCACAAACATAAACACAGCAACAAAGTAAAACAAGGGGCTGAAGAGATGGCTCAGTGGTAAGAACATGTGTTACTCTCACAGAGGATCTGAGTTCGACTCCCAGTACCCATAGTGGCTCACAACCATCTGTAACTCCATTTCCAGGGGGATCCAAGTCCTTCTTCTACCTTCTTCAGGCACCAGGCATGCATGTGGTGCACATACATGCATGCAGGCAAGACACTCATACACATAAAATAAAAAATAAAAATCTAAAGTAAATAAATAAAAGTAATTTAAAATTAGGAAAGGTTTCAGGGTGCCAAAGGGCACTTGTTGCTCTTGCAGAGTGTCTGAGTTTGATTCCCAGCACACACATGATGGCTCACAACCATTCATTACTCTGCTTTCAGGGGACCCAACATCTTCTTCTGGCTCCCGAGGGCACTATGTGCACATGATGCTCATACATGCAAGCAAAATACCCATATACATATACATCTAAAAACTGCTTTTAAAAGAAAAGAGTTTTCATCTGTTTCCAAGCAGATCCTATCTTGGCAGTCAGTCTAGTCACCATCCTTCAGAGAAGGAATCCCAGCGCCTTGTCCCCTCACTCTGAAGGGGAATCCTCATCTCTCCAGGTCGGTCAGTAGGTTTGTCTGATTGGCGTAATAGTGGCAAGTTTTTTTTTTGGGTAAGCACTCACTTTCTGATTGGATTCGGAGCCCACACCACAGAACTACAACAGTCTGCTCCTCTGGTTCTTCTGCAAATGGTCAGCACTAGCCAGGGGGTGGGGGTGGGGGGACAGGAAGGAGTCTTTCTGTCTCTGGGGCACAATTTTGTTCTCTTGGGTGGAAGGAGCTGGAATTGACTGCAGACACTACTCAGGTATTTGTACTTCCACATTTCTTGCTTTTGTCTTTGTTTTTGTTAAGTCTGTAAGTTACCCCCCCAACACCTTTAAAATTGTTATTTAAAAACCTTCTGTGTGTGTACGAGTGTGCACACCATAGCATGTGTCTTTTGAGACAGGGTTTCTCCATGTAGCCCTGGCTGTCTGGAAATTCACTCTGCAGAGTAGGCTGTCCTGGACTCAGAGCTCCACCTGTCTGTGCCGATGAGTCATGGGATTAAAGGTGTGGCCTGAGAACAATGTTTGAGTCTTCCTTTTGTGGGTTTGGGGCATTAGGCTAAGGATGTGATTGTTGTGTGGCGAGCACTTCCGCCCACTGAGCCATCCATGGCCCACTGGCCCCTTTTATTAAACACCACTGAAATTATCCACCATGAGGTACAATGTCTTACCTGTTGTGGCCTGACCAGTTGAAGGCTGTGTGGAGCCGTTAATGTGGCCAGTGTTTTGTTTCCTACTTCACTGTAGTCTCACAACGCTTGGCAAGTGTTTGGTGAATTTTTGTGGAATGTCAGGATCTGAGCTACAGCCCCTTGTAACATGATAAATAAAAGACCCAGACACTGGTATTTGGTGCTCAAGCTTCAAGCTGAAGATCAGAAAAGCAAAGCAGGCAGCCACTTGCTCTTACCTCCACCTCAGCTCAGACTAAAGGGGTGATCCTCAGACAGCTCCCAACTTCATTGCCCCTCAGATTCACTCAGACTGCTATGCTCTCCTCAACATGGCTGGAGACTCAATGCCTGATCCTGACTACTGAAGACCCTGCTCATATCTTTTATACCTTCCTAGTGCTGGGACTAAAGGCATGTGATCCCAGGTGCTGGGGTCACCTTTGTGTGAGCTGTTTCTTTTAGGACTGGCTCAATCTTGTGTAGTCAGTGTGGCCTTGAACTAACAGAGATCCATCTACCTCTTAATTCTGAGTTCTGGGATTAAAGGTGTGTACCACCACCGACTAGCTTCTATAACTAACTAGTGTGACTGGCTTTGCATCTTGAACCCTCAGGCAAGCTTTATTAAATCATAATAATATATCACCACAGCCCCTCCTCTCCACACTTGCAATATTCACTAAAGCATTCCCATGCTGTACACAGATGCCTAGTAAACTCTAGGAGCTGTTAGGTTAAGCATCATAGAGCAGGCTAAGCCTGAGACTCATCTTTTCCGTGAGCTCCAGTTCCCTGAGTCACCTCAGGGGTTCGTGCCTGAATGAGCAATGTGTGGATGTATGAAATACACAGAGGCTGCAGAGGTAGGAGGCTTGATAAACAAAGGGTGTGATTTCTCTCACTCACATAAAAAGTTTAGGCCACATAACAGGAAATGAACATAGGAAATTTTCATTTGTTTAGGTTATGGTTTTAAAGGGAACATGTTGAGTAAGCTCAATTTATAGTTACCAGTTTTACACTTATAGGGTTGACATTGCCTTTATTATATTTAATGTTGCATTAGGCACCACTATATCATTCTATATGATATAGTTGACGTAACTACCTTGCATTTCACAGCCATGCTTGCTATCAAGTTCACAACTGCAGACTCCAATGTCCATGACATTTATTATAAATACGTTTTCACCGTGCAAATGTCAGAGGGACTTTTTCATGATTCGTGTATCTCTGGGTATTGTGGGTAGGGCTCACAGAGATATGAGGCAGAGCTGTTCTAAGACCTCTCACTAGGTCTCAGGTGTTCCTAGCTGCTGACTAATTTGTCAAATACAAAGTTCTTTATTGAAAGAAATTCCATGATCTTCCTTCCTGGGTTCGCCAGGAGGATAGGGGTCCAGCTCCAGCTATCGTAGTACACCTCATCTTTTCTCAGAGCCGCACCTTTGATGATCTCCAGGGCACATTCCTCCTTGGGAGAGGCTTGGGCAGAGAACACCCCAGAGGTTGCCTTCAGGGCTGTTTCTGTAGGACCACAGGAAAGGCTGGAGTTATCTAGGGCTAGCAGAGCTTGTGTGATGGAGACTCCCAGACCCCGAGCTGTTAGGTTCCGTATGCCTATTGTCTGAGCCCTACAGGCCCTCTGGGGACTCTTGGACAACTGGACAAAGGAAGACTGACTGGCAGAGGCCTGGCATCCCTGTATGGGGATCTGTGGGGCAGTGGAGGTGACAGCTTGGGGGTTCAAGTGCTCTTCTCTGAGTGACACATTAACACGGGGAGTGCAGAATGAGGACTAAGTAGCTGATGTAGATGGCAAACTGTGATCCACTGCTTACAGATGGGAAGAACAGAACCGGGCACTGACCACTGCCACAGACAAAGAGCCATCCGAAACTGTGCTCTGTCTTCCTCTATGGTCTCCTTCTTTCCTCCCTCCATCCCCATGCTACTCGACTTCTGGTTTTGTTCTGCAGTCACTGTTTAATTAAATTTCTTTTGGACAAGGACTCATGTAGCCCTTGAGAATGACTCTGAACTTGTGATCCTCCCGTATCTCCCTCCTGAGTGCTAGGATTCCAGTTGTGCTCCACCACACATAGTTTATGTGGTGTCAGGAATTAAACCCAGGGCCACATGAGTACCAGGCCAGTTCCCTAACAACTGAGATACAGTCCTAGATCATCAATCCCTCCTTAAACAATAATTCTTCACAGTCCTAGATGTATGTTTCAGATAAATTCATGAACGCTGCACACACTTCACCTTTCCCAAACTGTCACATCATGCACAACCCCGTGTAATGACCAGAGATGAGTACCATAGATGCAATAGATGCAGCCCAATGTTACTGGCTTTTTTTTTTTTTAAACTAGTGCTCAGTGCTAATTTCTCCATTTTTTTCTTAGTCTGTGAAGTTTCTTTCATGGCCTTGATTCTTTGAAGAGTATGAACGGTTTCCAAGGACTGCCTCTCAGGCGGATGCTGCGTCCTCCCAGTGTGTCATATCCAGGGGCTCATGAAATCAACGTTGAGTCCAGTAAGAAAAGTATAAAGGTGTTTAGTACCTTTTGTTGAGTAACAGTGGTCATGGGGAGTTTATGTGGGCACAAGGAGCTCAGGGTAGAACATGCTATACTGAGTGTGGTATTCAGAGCAGAGAGGAGGGTCAAAACTGACTAGGTTCTACCAGTGATGGAAGTGTCCCATTACATGACAGGCCTGTTGCTTCTAGCTATGGTCTCTAGTACCTCAGGGAGACAGAACCCTTCTTTTTCTACATGGTAAAGCTGACAGACCAATGTAAGGCCATTTATTCCAGGTTCTTTTCCTTACCTGTGTTTATGAGGCCAAGAACACAGAGAGTGATGGACACATTGACCTTGGTTACTCCATATTCTTTTCTAATGGAAGAGAAGAACCCATCCAGAGCAAACTTGCTTGCAGAGTAGGGAGCAACCAGAGGATGGGACATTTTCCCTAAAGGACAAATTAAAGATGTTTGTTAATAAAGGTCCAGCTTGGCCCCAGACAGACAGGGCTTGACTTGGAGGGGCTGGCAATTCCTGAAGGGTCTCCTTACCCACTGAGTCTCAGTTCCTCGCTATTCCCTAAATTATCCTATGGCATTACATTTCTGAAGGGATAGGAATTAAGTTTTTGGAGATGTGGTGGTTTGAATGAGAATGCTTCCCCCCTCTCCCATAGGCTCAGTCCCCAGCTGGTGAGATGCTTGAAAGGATTAGGAGGTAGGCCTTGTTGGAGTAGAGGTCTTGTTGCAGATTTCAAAAGCCCACACCAGGACCATTGCCCCTCCCCATCCCCCACCTCCTGATCAAGATAAAAGCTCTCAGCTACTTCTCTAGCACCATGTCTGTCTGCTCCCACCATGCTGACAATGGACTAACCGCCAGAAACTGTAAGCAGGCTCCCAATTAAATGCTTTCTTTTTAGAAGAGTGTCTTCATCACAATAGAGCAGTGACTAAGACAGGAGCAATGGTGTACAGGTTGAGCTGCAAGACAGACTCCACTGGAGAGATACTAAGCAATGGTAGGGAGTGAGCTGGGCTTCAATATAGCCCTGTGTTCTCACAGCTGCTGTCTCCAGCTCTGATCCTAGAGGGCCAGCTCAGTGGCCTGTCTCTTTTCTGCATGAAGGGGATAATAACACACCCGTGTTTGAGTTTTATACAAAACCTGAACTTTCAACCTATCAGTCAAGACTCATTCCAGTCTATGAGGGGTATGTGGACATAGACATAGTAGAAGGAGCTCTTCACATGCTCTGTGGATAGAACAGAAGTGAACTGAGGCTGTATGCACACCTGAACATTGATAGACTATAAAATCTTTGTGTGCTAGCTTTGGAAGCTGAGCCTGTTTAGGGTCCATTTTTGTAGAAAGCTTTCCTCCTGCTGACCATATAACACTTTTTCCTTGTATCCTGGAAACTGAACAATGCCTCCCAGAGTCTCTGGATTTCATCTCATTCCTCCAAAGAGAGTTAACTGTAGTGTTAAAATGAGCAGTTAACCTGGTTGAAATATATCTGGCCGCTTGGTATCGGCACCGCTGTGAACAATCAGAAATCCAGAGACTCAGGATTTTGTGATGCTTCTCCAAGGAATACCCAAGTTTTTTCTCCTAAAATGATAACAATTGCAGACTTCTGACAAAATGTAAAACACGGCCATTGGAAGCACTAGCGAAGACTAACAGCAGACAGACAGTTTGCTTCTCTGACTGTCTCACAGACCTAATAAGTCTAATAAGTGCTGTTTGCGGTGCTGCTGCTGATGCTCTCAGTGTGTCTCTGCCTCTTCCATAGCAGTGGAACCCCAGTCCCTACCTGGGCACACAGTTATCCAGAGTGGAGTGGGTGCCTCACACTCCTCTCACCAGTTATTGCTGAGCAGCTAAGTTCTGTACAATGGTAGGTAAGCAGAAGCAGAAGGAAGTCTCTCTGCCTTCCAGTCTTTATGAAAGACCAAAAAAGTAATGTTAATGATGGACTAACCTGGAAACCAATATCTTTTCCTTGGAATTTGCTAGCTTCCTCTCACCAGGCCCTGAGATGACAAGAATTCACACTGCCCCTCCTTTCCTGTGAGTCAGCAGGTGGTGAATAGGGTCCGTAGGAAACAAAGAGATAGCTGCAACTCCGGTTTGCCCAGATTAATTAGCACACCCTGAGGCCCTAAGGTCTGCTGACCCTAATAGCAGACCATCCGGCCTCCAAGGGTCACGTTCTCAATGGACAGAGGGTCCCACCCCCTCCCTAAGCTTGTGGGTTTGCCTTTAAAAACACCTGGGCCCAGGGGAGGGGGCTTCTCTCTAGCCTGCGTGCTGGAGGAGCCCGTTTGCACAAATGTTTCCTGTTCATTAAAGCCTCTTGTGTTTTGCAGCAACTGGACTGGACATTGAGTTCTTGGGGTATCGACCGAACCTGGAAGACTCCTCGTTCTGAGGGTCTTACATTTTGGGGGCTTGTCCAGGATTTGGTCGACCCCGCAGACTCAATTCCATTGCCAGTTGGAGGTAAGAAAGAGCTCGCAAGCTATATGTTTGGTGTATGTCTGATGTGTTTGATGTTACGTGTTTTTGACTGAGTATTTGTATCTGTGCCTGGCCTGCACAGGACTTGTATAGGACCACAGGGGGAGACAGACGTGTCCTGAGACCCTTGGTCCTGCCCTGGACGAAAGCCCCGGGTTGTTTGGAGGAGGGAAGGAGACGAAGTTTCTCTTCTCCAGGGGCCGGCCGGCCTCTGGACTTGCTTCCCTCCCGCTTTGTAATTTTGGTTTGGGCGCCATTTGTCTACTGTGCGGATTTGTCCTCTTTGTCGGATTGTTCTGTGTTTTTGTGTCCCTCTGTTCCTACTGTTTGTGTCTGTTTCTACTCTCCCCATGGGTCAAAAGCTAACTACTCCACCTAAGTTTGACTTTAGATCCGCAGGAGAGCAGGGCCGGAGACCCAGCTAGACAATAGCACACTTGTCCCTCGCCCTCAGGTGTCTGTGATAGCCATGGCTCCCCGGAATCATGAGGTAAATGGCACACGCTGAAGATGGCACTACCGAGTCACAGGGCAGACAACATGGCCTGGAGCTGCCTCACCAGCTCTGCTCCACCATCAGACAGCCTTGACTTACCTTCTCATTTGCTTAGCCCCACTGTTATTTTTAATTTTCAACACCTGAGAGCTGGACTCAGTCCTAATTATAGATAGACCATGTGGGAGAAGAAACATCCCTCTACCCAGGACTGTTACAGGAATGAGCATGTGACCCAGTTTGGGCCAATGAGACAAGGATATTTTTGTTAAGTGTCTCACAAAGTTCTTTTCCCTCCTGGGAGTTTCTGGGAGTAGAAACCCTCTTTCTCTCCTGATGGGCACTTTGTGCATTTATATGGGGCTAGAATTGCTGCAGCTAATTCATTGTCAGCTGAGTGGGAAACCACACAGGGAGGCAAGCTGAGCCAGGAGGATCATGGTGATACAGCTTGAACTGGGTCAGCTGTGAAACCTACCCTACACTGGAACTCCATTTGTCAATAATTTCTGTTAATTTTTAAGCCCAAAATAGATGCAGTGTATGCAAAATAGATGCAAAATAGGAGTAGTGTATGATTAAAATATGAGATTAAAATATGAGACAGGGGCTTGGGTATAAATCCCAAGCATGGCATTTCTTGGCTACAGTTTGTGGATAATACCATTATGGAGCTGAAATAACCACATACTATGCTTAGCACAGGCTGACTCCAAGAATGCTGTTGTTGTCAACAGAATTAGCATTCAAATCAGCAAGAAATGTATGAGCTATTTAAAAAGTCATGTTGGGACAAATAGTTAATTACTCAGGGGAGTGGAAAAATGCCACTCTAATAAATTAATTCAAGCCACATTGGAGAATATATATGGAAAGTGAGATAAAACAGCAAGAGAAGGGTAAGTTTACCATCCCAAGAGACACTTAATTCATGGAAACAGGTGCACTTGGTGAAAGGAAGGGTGGGTAGACGGAATGCAAAACTTGAAAAGCCGGTGCTGGAGATGCCCACCTTGCCCTTCAAAGCGGACCCTCCCCACCCCCCATACCCCACCCCCATCCCCTACCCCCCACCCCCATCTTAGAGGGCTGTCCAGCCTCAGACAAATGTGCACATCAGCTTGAGTACATGCCATGGCCTCTTTCAAGAAACTGAAATAATGACAGAAGGATTCTATTTATTGCCATTTGGTTTTGAGCTAAAAGGTTATATAAGGCTAGGACTCAGAGATCCATTTCCTGGCATGAAAAAGAGTAAGTCAGCAAAGGGCCACTCTTGAAGATGGCAGAGATGTGGAGCAGAGGACCACAGAAGCTCGGCTTAAATAGGTACTAACTTGTGTATCTCATTCTAGAGTTCAAAGGCTGAATAATTGTTCAAAGTTGAAAGGTCGGTGAAAAAAACCAAGCTTCAGATCTGTTTCTAGTGGCCCATAACTAGACTCTGATGTTTCATCTACAGTTGCCTTCCTTCCCTCCCTCCTTCTCTCCCTTCCCTCTTTCCCTCCCTCCCTCTCTTCCTTTCTTCCTTCCTTCCCTCCTTGTCTCCCTCCCTCCCTCCCTCCCTCTCCCCCACCCACACTCTCCTTTCTCCTCTTCCCCCTTCTTCTTATGTCCATTGCTGGGCCTCCTGTTTTTTATATTCACATTTTCCAGGAATCATGTGTCAAATCCAGTAACAAACCACCCCATGTTGGTACAGTTTACTTTGGCCTGATAGTCAAGCCCCAAATAGGCAAACTTTATGACTACCAGTATTATTTTTACTTTCAGACTGATAAGTGAAGGTGTCCACAGATAAGCTTGTCACTCTTCAACATTTAGATTTGCTTCCCAGGGCGCCATAACAAATCAGTCACCACAAGCAGTCACACTATAATCCACTGTTTCTCAGTCTTCCTAATGCTGCCACCCTTTAACACAGTTCCTCATGTTGTGGTGACCCCCAATCATAAAATTATTGTTATTACTTCATAACTGTAATTTTGCTTCCGCTATGAATCATAATGTAAATATATGATATGCAGGATATCTGATATGCTGCCCCTGTGAAAGGGTCATTCAACACCCCTAAGAGGTCTTGACCCACCACAGGTTGAGAACTGCTGTTATAATCTCTCCTCCCACAGCTCAGTGGGCCAAAGTCCAAGTTTGGGCTCCAGCAGAGAATCCTTGGTCTGATCCAGCCCCTCATATAGATGCTCTTGTTGGTGCCCTGGCATGTAGATACCTTGACCCTGTTGTTAACATCACTTTCCTTGTGTGCCTCCTGTTCCTCCATCTCTTTCATGTTTCTACAGGAACTCTTATTATTGGAGCTTGGCTCACTCAGAGAATCTGAGATGATTTCATCTGGATAGCTGAGTTATATCTTTGAGGACCCTTGCTCAGGTAAGGCCCTGCTCACAAGTTTCAGGGGGACATTT